AGCAGAGGAATGGATTTGTGACAGTTTGTAGTCGGTTGAGGTGGACTATTTTGGACTATTTTATAGGACTAAAATGAATGATTATTTTCATTATGGATTTACTTTCTCCATTCACTGATTAATTGTTTGATTCAGAAAGTAGTGACAAATGCTGTCATATTACCCAGAGCTCGATGTGACACTTTCACTATGCTTGTTTTGTCCAACTGACAGTCCAAAACCCATAAATATTAAAAATTCAGCAGTACTTGTATATGCTGTTGGGTGGTTTAATTTATAACAAAACATAATTTGTAAGTAAAAAGTGCTATATATTTCTTTACTTTTCTCTACTGTACTTAGTTCCTTTCCACCACTGTTGCCATCCTTTGTTTTTATCCGTTGGCAATTCTATCAAAGGTTGGAAGGTGGTGGTTTAATAATGAAAAGTCAGTCAACCAATCAAGTTAATTTTATATTATTCATCAAAACGGTCGCTTGTGAACAGGTATCACAATATCAGAACAACCGGCTTTAATATGACAATTGCACAAATACAAGTCAGTATTCAATAATGAAAAGGGCAAGCTGCACTACAGAGTTATCTTTATCTTCACTGTCCCATAAACCACAGACATTTTGTGTAAGAAAAGGATCTGAAGACTTGAAGCCTAATGCAAGAAGACACTTCTCTGTGACTCTCCTGAGACTTTAATATTTTATGTGTCACATCTTTTGCTTTTGCACCCTATTTTTTGGAAAAGATTTCTCTCTCTGGCTCTTTTTATTTCAAAAAATGATTGAAATTTCTTTTGAAAATTGTTTCAGAAGTTGACTTTACTTTTGCAAAACTCACAAATTAGTAAGAAATTATTTGACCAAACTTAAAAGTCAAATTCCTTTTGCCAAGAGTTTAAAAATGCTGTATGTCTTCACATATTTTCAAGATGCACACAAAGAATTGTAGATTCCTGTTTCTACTGTTAGTCTATTGATAAACTGCACTTTAGACCAAGGACTCATCAACAAAGAGGAGGAAGGGTATTTACAAGGAGCAGTTCCCTTTACAATGTGATCTACTAAGGTGTGTTAAGAATCACATTTGGAAAGATTCAATTGACATTTGTTTGTTAGTTTGTTAATTTGGCTCAATATGAACGCCTCTAATCCCATAGACAGTTGTTCCCTCCCAGACAGCCTTGACGGCTCAACCTCCAGTGCCACAAGTCAAAAATGCACTATACTTGATATTCAATTAAAGTTCCAGTGTGTAACATCTTTTGGCAGAAATGGAATATAATATTCATAGGTATGTTTTCATTAGTGTATAATCAATTGAAAATAAGAATGTTTCGTTACCTTAGTATGAGATTGTTTTATCTATAGAGGGAGTGGGTCCTCTTCTACAGAATCCGTGTCATGGCCAGGGCTGTATGCCCCTGCATTTTGCCTTTATGTTTCTCTGTGTTTCCCTCTTCCCCTGTGTCTCCTGTTTTTCCTCGTCTGTCTCTGTCTAGATTTTGTGTGTGTATGACCCTGGTCCCACTCGAATTGTCAAAAAAAGTAGGTCCTATGTCCTAGTTGGTTGGAAGGTTGGGAGTGTGGACGAGAGAGAAACGTGGTTGAAGTCCCCTGTGATGATGATGAAGGCCCCAGGGTGTTTCGTTTGTAGTCCTGCAGTCACAGTGTGGATGACGTCACACGCTGCTTCTGCTTTCCCAGACGGAGGAATATAAACAGTGATGGCAATATATGGCATTTATACTAAATGCTGTGAATAATATAGTGAAAACCAACACACTGCAATGCAGGATTGCCTCTTTCATGCTGTAGGCTCAGCAATTTGTTTTGCGATGTGTGGTCGTGTCCCAGTTTTTGTGGTGCTTTTCATTTTGTGATGGACTGAACATTACAAAAAACAACTGTGGCATGTAGCCTTCAAGTGATAAATACAAAGAAACAACTAATCAACATGCTCTTTTCTGCTTCCCTGTTTGCTTTCCACTTTCAAGTTACGTTTTCATAGTGGCCAGTCAATATCAGCCTACATGAGTCAAATTTTTTTAGCCCCATGTTTTAGTATCCTTTCTTTGTCATCTGTGATGTGAAAACATCAGATTGCCCCACAGTCTGTGTGTCCAGCCAGTGGCGGTTCTATCTTGAATGAAACCCTGTGCTCGTGCCACCCCCCATGTGTCATGAAAAAATGCCGTCCTGCGCCAATGCCTGCTTCGCCCATGCCCAAAACCGCTACTGTGTCCAGCTCATAGTTCAGTGATAACAGTCATCATTACGGATGAGTCCTCCTGCTCTGTATACCCGACCTCTCGCTAAACCAGACAGAGTACTTCCAACATGTGAGAACATGTGTGACGAGTTGTTCAGAATTCATATGTGAAATTTATTTTACTGTTTTTCTTTTATGATTAGTCTAGGTGGAGCTGTCACTGCAGATGCACTTGTCACCATCTTCACTTTGTTGTTGTTCTAAAATAATTGTAGGCATAAATGCTCCCTCAGTCAGGTCTGGAAGAATTAAATCTCCGGCACCTATGGTACTGTAGAAAAACAAGTACTGTGAAACATAGACAAAGCATAAAAGCCGCCTGAGGATGTAATTCAGTATCAACCAAGGGTGTTATCAACAAAACCAGTTCTGTCAGTCTGTGTTTGATTGCCTTACAGTTAATGTACAAACATGATTTCAACTAGTAAAGTATACACAGACCATGCATGTGCAGAGTGTGCCTGCATCTACCTGTGAGTGCAACAGCAACATCTGACTAATTGTAAATCGTACTATTTTTTTGTTTATTTTCCTCAAGAGGCCTCTTTCTCTCCTTGTCTTCAGAAAATGCAGTGGAGTCATGAATCCTCAGGATCACTAATATCTCGCTGTAGCTAAAACTTTTCAACTCACACATTCTCTGGGCCCACAACAAATTCATAGTATAAAAAATGTATACAGTGTACATATAACTTTTATTCTCTAATTCTATTTTCATTATATCTTGCATTTTTCTATTCTATTTTTATTTCATGTGTATTTTCTTATGTGTTGTGTTGTATTTGGAGCTGCTGTAGCGAGTGAATTTCCCCAGTGTGGGATCAATAAAGTATCTTATTTTATCTTATTATGTTTTT